GGCTGGGCTGTAGCTCCCTGGGTGGCATTGCAAAAGGTGAGGATGGGGCTGGGGGCATTTGGCTGCTGGTCTCTGCTCTCCTTCCCTGCCCGCAGGACCAGAGTGCTCTCGTTGGCTGAGGTTTGGTCAGGGGCCCGTTTTCTTAGAGCTAAGTAAACATTTTACTGAGAAATGTTTAATCTCGTTTCCTCTTGGCGTGGCTCTCGGGGTGCGCAATCCAGGATCGCCCGCCCCGAGCCTCCAGGCTCTGACTTGGGATGGAAAAACATCCCACATTTCTGGGGCCCAGTGGGGCAATGGGATTTGCCAACTTGCTCAGCCATTTCACGGATGTGGGGATGCGTGGGGACTTTCACTTCTCCCTGCAGCTGCAGAGCCTGGGTGCTAATTTTTCTGTTTAATTTGTAACATGAGGTTGGAGCAAATCCCCTGACTCCGAAAGCTGGAACTTCAGGAAATAACTACTCTGGCCAGTCTCTACATCATGACTCCACACCTGAAACTAGGTTTTGGTGGCTTCAGGCAGCCTCCTGCTCCATATTCAACCTGCCTTTGCTCCAGGGGCTGCGAGGAAGTGCCCGGGAAGGGGCAGGCAGGGAAGCTGCCGCTTGGGGCCTTGCCAGCTGCCTTCATGTTGTGCTGTGGGGAGAGGCTGCCTGACCCCTCACAACTTGGTTTAGTTTATTTAGGGAGTATGAAAGCCTCCAGGTTTTTCCTGTTTCTGGTGGGGATGCGGTCAGTGCAGCCAGGATGGCCTTGGCCATGTCACCATATGGCATGTGGGACCCAAGAGCCCACCCTCACTCCAGACTGCCCCCAGGGCACGTGAGGTGGAGGAGGCATCCAGGTGGCTTTATGCTGCTGGTGCATGGGACGTGCCCCAGCCGAGCACAAGGAGGTGGCTCCTCCTGGGCTCTCTGCCCATCTGTTGCCTCGCTGAAGGCAGGGAATTTCCCTGGGTCCCCACGCCCCTATTCCTAGGATGGGCGAGTCCCATGCTGGTAGCCACGTCTGTCTGTGGTGCGTGGTGAGGAGGAAGCAGCATGAGCCTCTGACTGACCCCAGGCGTGGAGGTGACGGCTGACGTAGCTGCAGGGATTTCACAGGCCGGGCTTCAGCATCACCAAGCATGGCCTGGCGCAAGCGGGATGAGAGGGAGGAAGGGGCCATTGTTTTCCCAGATAATTCCCCATGACGCAGCCTGCAGCCGGGGCGGTAGGAAGCACTGATCTGCTTCCTGCCGCAGCACAGGGATGTTTTCCCCATCACCACAGCCTGGCACCACGGCTGGCACTTCGCTGCTGGAACGGAGTGTCGGGAAAGGCCCCTTAGCACCCAGCTGGAAGGGCTGCGTTATAGCACCTGCATCACACGACAGTGTGCCCCTCTGTCCCTGGAGAGAGCTGCTGCCACGAACAGCCAGAACCCAGAAATCTCATCTGGCAGGAGACTTGTGTATTTGACCTGAAACTGGAGTCCTACAAAACTTGTTTGCCCTCGAGATGGGGAAATATTTTTTTCTCTGGGGTGGAAGGATTTGTGCTGGTACATGAAGGACATGGGAGTGCATGGGATTGTGCTCCAAAGCCACTTGGAGCTTGTTCGTATCAGGGATGGAGCTGTTTGAGGAATGGTTTCATTCTGAAGATGAAGTAAGAGGAGACAAATCAATTTAACTATCATGGTATCAGCTTATAGTGGTAAAATACTGCTCTTGAATATCCTACCTGGACGCTTGGGATCTTCCATACCCTGGCTTCATACTGAAAATAACTACTGCTGGTACCTCTGCTTGCTGCTCACTGTAGCCTGCGGCAGACATGACTGGTGTTAGGAGACTGAGGCAGTGCCGTGATTTGCAAGAAGGGTGACCCAAGATGTCTCCAAAAAGATCTAATATTAGTCACACTTCTCTGTACTACTGACAAAGAATGGGTCATGCTCTGACTGGATAAGAGCATGTCCTTGTGTCTGACTGCCGTTCTTTGCAAACAGACCGTTGCTTACTGCTTTGCGCTTTGTGCCCCAGCTAGGGATGCTGTTAGTGCTGCTTGCCGTCTTTTCCTTGTCATGGGTCATGGGAATACCACAGCCTCAGAGATGCTGCAAAGCCCAGGTGTCTCGACTGTACAAAGCAGGTGCTGCCCCTACACATGTACACAGCATAGCGGTGATTATTTACTGACATTTTTCACTTGCCTACTGGTGGACAGGGTTTTGGGAGTGTCACATTTCTGATTATTTTTTCCTGTTATTAAGTCAAGAGATTCTCAGTTAAACACATGATTCCAGGAACTGGGGCTTTAACAAAACTGCTGCAGAGCACAGGGCCTGGACTGACAGTTCTAGCAAATCCCTCGGCAAATACATTTGACAGTGAGACCATCTTATCTTTTGATCTTGGGATCATGAAAGCACTTGTTCTATGCAAATTCCTTCTGCAGCTCAAGCAGAAAGAGCAGCGTGGCGTGACAGGAAGCACTGGAGAATTTGGATTATTCAAATGCTCTTTATGTTACTGCTCTTGAAATACTAGTCTATAGTCTCTCAGGTTATACACCTTCTACGCTGTTCTTCAAATGGGATTTTTCTAATCTAATCTCCAGACACCACCTTCAGCACCAATATCTCTATATAATCTCCTGTAAACTCCCTTATAGTTGGTGGACTTTGTCCACGTTAGAGCTACTACAGACGCCCTGATACTTTTGAAATCTTCTTTTATGGTCTTAGATATTATTGCACAGCAGAAATCCTGTCTGGTGGCCAAAAAGCAGGCCAAAATCTGTGTGGATTCTGTGCCTGAGCAAGTGTTGCGATTCTTGGACTCAAGGCACTGATGTGATTTCAGTCTCTTTCCTCTGGCTGTCTATTTTCTCAACACATGTAGGAACTTAAACATCCTTGAGGCCTCCATCACTGTCAAACTGATTTCATCTTGCACAACAGATTCAGAGGTCCCTGGTGGGGATGGCAACATGCCCACGTGCATGTGAAGTATGTAATTGAGCCACCTTTCTTCCTTAGGAATCCAGAATTAAAAAAAAAAAAAACCTACTCTAAATTACTTCCCTTTTTCCTAATTCTTGGCTAATATATTGTGACATGATTTTAATTTTAAGCCTATTTGACCTAAGAGTATAACCCCTTGAGCCTGAAATTTCTGCCTCTGTCTTTCTTTAAGCCAACTATTTATGTGCACATCTGAAACCCTTTCCCACTTGTGGCCTCCAAATGGAGGGCTAGCATGTGTATTTGATGCTGATATAAGATCACTGATACTTTTCCCCATGGTGTGATATACAGGATGAAGTAATTTATTTTTTTTTGCTAAAGACCACAGTTTCTGCCATGGGAAACACTACTTTTATGAGCACTATTATGTGCTTTGAATAATATTGCAACAAAGGGAGATTAGCTAATTACTCCAGGGTCTTTCTTCCCTTGGTGTGTGGGAAAGCTTCATGGCTGACGTCCATAGGCATCAACCAAAAAGCCATGGGAGAGCAGTCTCAGCACCCCACACCTAAACATCTTGAGCTAACCTATGGTTTTAAATGACTTATAACTCATGAGTGCATCTCTCTTCTTGATGCCCTGAATAGTATTTGAGTGCCATGAAGTGAAGTGTCTCCCATCTGTCAGTCTGGGAAGGCTTGCCAGCTGCCTAAGGAAATCTGGGGACATAAAAGTGATTTGAAGAAAAATCTGTAGGGGAATTTCATCATACTTGTTTATCCTGTAACTGTAGCTCTGTCAAACAAATGCCATGAGATGTTCAAAGGATGGTGAAGGCTCACTTCGTTGCCATAGAAGTCAGCGCCTGTATGGAGTGGGAGGGGGAACTGGTTGTTTTAACTAAGGCTGGGAACCATGGGCCTGGCATTTCAACAAGGGCATTGTTTCATCCTATGCAATTGGACTTTAGACCTGCCCAACCTCTACTGCTGGCTAAAACATTTGAAAATGTACATTTTGGTACCATATTTTAGCCACCTCCGTGAATATTCATCCTTTCTTATGGCTGCTCTAGTGAGGTCACATTGTACTTTCTCCTTGCTTTGGTCAAGTGTCTTTGGGGAAAAATATTCCCTGAAAGTTGTTATCTCTACCCCAAGGCTGCTAATTCAC